CCAAGCGAGTATGACAAGATATGCTGGAGGAACTTCTTTGAGAAGAAAAAACATATATCAAAAACAGGAATAAAGAATGACGATAACTCCATTCCTATCAATAAGTACCTCAAATGGAAAAGAATTAAGTGCTCCAACCAAAAGATAAAGTGGTTGAATGGATAAGAAAACAAGACTCCTACATATGCTGCCTACAAGAGACTCATCTCAAATTAAAGACGCGCGCAAACCAAAGGGAAGGGATGGGAAATGATAGTGCCTTGATGGACCTAGAGGGTACCGCGCTGAATGAAATGGGCTGGTAGAGAAAGACAAATATCTCATGATTTCACATACATGTGGAACCTGAAGAACAAAATAAACAATAACAACAAAATGGAAACAAACGTATAGATACAGAGAATATTTTAAGGGCTACTAGATGGGAGGGATGTTTTGGAGGACGGCCAAAAAAGGCAAAGGGATTAAGAAGTACAAATGTATAGTTACAAAACAGATACAGAGATATAAAGGGTAGCATAAGAAAAATAGTTAATAATGTTGTAATACATATGTAAGGGGAAAGCGGGGTACTAGATTTACGGGGTGACCACTTCGTGAGTTGCATTAGATCTCTAAGTACTATGCCTTACAACTGAAACTAATATATCATTGTATGCCAGCTATAATTGAAAATAAACCCATTGAATGGTATAATGTAAATAGCAGCAACTAATTATCTTCTAGATTTCAATAATCCCAGAAAAAGAAAAAAGAAAAAAATTCCCACTGCTGAAATACATAGTGTGGCTTCTAGGTTTGGGATTGGCCCTTGACCGATTCTATCTCAAGAGACGGGGAAAAAATGAGCACTGGGGGATTTCAAAACCCTTCATGATAAAACTCACAGCCAACTAGGAATAAAGGATATTTCCCTTGCAGGATAATGGGTGTCTTGAGCAAACATCACACCTAATGCAGCAGCATCAGGTACTGGTCCAGACCGGCAATAACAGTAAGTAAAAGGTCTGAAAATTGAAAAAAAAAAAACAAAATGGTATTCTTTTCATAAATGATTGTATACATAGAAAAATCCAAAACTATAGGCAAATCCACTTGGTGCCTTCATAAGCTTCATTGCTGGAGGCAAAATCAAATTACAAAAATCATCTGCATTTCTATGTCACAGTAATAAACAAAAAAGAGGATGTTATAAAAGATGCCATTGACAACAGCATCAAAAATTTTGATTCTCCTGGAATATATTTAGAGATGTATATATAAAATAGAATACGCACTTCCTCAACGGAAGAAATTAGAAATCTATATTGAACGACATTAAAGATATAAATAATTGAAAAATATGCATTTTAATGGTTGGAAAATACTACTGTACATTTATCAAGTCTATCCTAATTAATCTGCAGAATTAAAGCAATGCATCACCCAATCTCCCAAATGATTTGTAGAACTCGATACCTCAATTGTAAAATCTATATTGAAGTAGAAATTTCAAAGGATAGCTACGCCGATCGTGAAGACGAACAATGTGTGTGGACAGGCTCTGTAAGACATTGAGATGTACGACGACTACAGGAAATAAGATGGGATTGACACGGGGCAGACCACGAGAACAGAATATGGCACCTAGAAATACGGCACCCCTCAACCACAGGAAACACGATCCGTGATAGAGGAAGTGATACGAACAAGTAACAAAAAGATAGACTTTTCAATAACGTGTGTGGGCCACTAGGGATCTCGATGAAATTGCAGCCCTGGCTCAGACGATGCACGAAAATCAAGGACTCTTGTTTTATGAGAGACAAACAATAGAGGTGTTAGGAGATCATAGAGCACGAGATCTCCGTGAACTTAAGGCAGGGAAGGTGTTCTGAACAAGACGTAGGGTAGCACTATTTATAAAGAGAAACACTGAAAATAGTGCCTGTGTTAAAATTAAGGACGCTTTACAAAAGACGCCAGAAAAGAGTTCTAAATCATCAGCCTCCAAGTCAGAGAAGACATTTACAACACACAGAAGCATCAACGTGTCAGTCTCCAGAAGAATTTCTACCAACACTAAGAAAAAGAAAATAAAGGAAAACAGGCTCGCCGGAGCAGGCGCCTCTGAAAAGACAGCATCCGACAAGCCAGTGAACAAAGGAAAAGCTGCTCCACAGCCTTAGTGACCAGGACGGTGCACATTGAAACCATAACGAGATCCTATTACATTCGCTCCAAGCTGGCAAACATGCAAGTGTCTGAAAACACAGTGTTAGAGGAAGTGCGGAACAGTCGTTGTTGAAATCGACCCCAGTCAAGTACTTCAGAGGAAGAAAAGCATCGTCGAAGAAACCGAGGTGGGATTCCAGCACAGCCCAGCAATCCCACTCCTAGACTTACGTTCCGGAGCAGTGCCGTCCACTAAGGTGACCAATCGCATGTGGCCGTTGACCCCTTGACAGGTGACCACAGGATGTGTGCTGTGACGGGCTATAAGATGGGCTGCCAGGGTCAAACACGCACCAGGATTTGAAGACCTCCTGCAAGAAAAGGAATGTCAACTCTCTGTGTTAGTGTCCTCGGGCCAATTAAAGGGGGCTGGGAGCCATTTCTCCCTCACCGCCAATAAAGAATTCAACTCAGTCATGGCACTCTACCTAGAGATGGCAGCAGAGTCCACAGGTTAAGGGTCAGGTCCTAAACCTGACCCTCCTGCACCCAACCACTTCAAATGCCAGCCACAAATCCAGGTTGTCACCTGTGCTTCTGGCCATACACCAGAGGTTCCCGAGACGTCATCCCCATGGTATGGGTTTGCCAGAGCGGCTCACAGAACTCAAGAGCTGATGTGACTTACTAGGCCACTGGTTTAACTTAAAAAGATATAATTCAGGAACACCCGGATGGAAGACATGCTTAGGGCCAGGTGGGGGGCGGGGCGTGGGGCTTCCATGGCCTCTCCAAGGTCTCCACTCTCCTAACACCTCCACGTGTCCGCCAACCCAGAAGCCCTCCGAACCCTGCCCTTTTGGGCTTTTGTGGAAGCTCCCTTACATAGTCAGGATTCAATAAATCAATAGACACCGGCGATCGAGTCGACCCCAGTTCCTCCCCCTACTCCCGGTTTCCTCTGGCCTCCCTCCCAGCTGACACGAGAACAGCTCTCAGGCTAGAGGTTCCAGGTATTCCCCAAGATGACCTCATTCCCCTAAGCCCACGACCCGTCCTGTCTGCCAGGAGGGAGGAACGGATGGGGTGTGTGACAGGAGGGGAAGCTACAACCGGAAGCCACAAGGTATAGGCAGAAGGGCAGAAAATTAATTTCCCCACACCCTGGACCAGAAGAGAAGGGCACAAGGGCAAAAAAGCTGGGCTGGCTCACCTCGGGGGCACAATGCTCATCTTAATAAAAGTAAAATAAGGCAGACTAAGGAATTGAGAGAAGCGACCATTTTCATATTCAAGGGCTACTGAGTTCATCTCAGAGAGAGGTGTGTGTGTGTTTCCCCAAACTGATGATAATGTTTTGTTGTTGTTGGAGTGAAATTTAAATGCCGTAAAATGACCAATGATCATCTTGGATGTGTAAACTTTTGGAGCCTTTTATCACGACACTTGCCCCATCATTTCCTCTACACCTGGCCGACCGCACACCTTTACCGTACCTGCCTTGCCTCGTAGGCGTCCGATTTGGGAGTTCCTGGAAGGATGAATGATCGCACTGATGCACCAAACAACGCTACAGGACAAAGGGTGCCTCTTTAATTCGACTTCTCCGTCAAGGTCCAGCTCACCCAAAGCCTGGATGGAAACGAAAGCCATGACCACCCTCTGCTGGG